AAGATCGCTTCTCCCCGTTGCCAGCCCCGCAATCTCCGGGGACAGAGAGGAAGGCGCACGCGCCTTCCCCTCTGTCCCCGGACTCCTTTTGAACCAAGGGGCGGCAACGGGGAGAAGCGATTCTCCCCGCTGCCCCTTCCCTTGCTTTAAAACAGGTCCGGGGAAGCTTTCCCTCTGTCCCCGGACGGTCTCCATAGGAACGCATTGATTGATTTTCAATGCATTCCTATGGGAAACCGTGCTTCACAAGACGAAAAACTCGCAAGAAGAAAAAACTTGCGTAACGAATTAATTTCGTCTTGCGAGGCACCACTGTAGTTCAGTGGTAAAAGATGCTTTTCATGCCCTCCTTTGGCAGCAAAAGAGAAAAATCTCTGCCCAGAGACTCTGAGCTGCCGCCAGTCAAGACGTCACAGAACTGAGCTAATAAATGGATTGATGCCTCTGAATGAGGCATTTCTTCAAACTCTGAGAAATATGGAAGAACTATTCCTCTAAAGCTGGGGTGAGGGACCTTTTTCAGCCCAAGGCCTGCACTACTAGGCAACCTTCCAGGAACCACATGCCAGTGGTGGGCAGAGCATCTTCAAAAGTGGGCGGGCCATGAGTGTAGATTTTACCTTTGCACAGTAGGCTAGTGTCTATATAGGCACCACCCACCCTACCTTACTGTTCTCCATCCCAGCAAGTAAGAGATATTAAAGGAGGTTCAAGGACACGTGCCAGTCAGTTAAAAATACTTAAGGAGGGTGAAAAGTATGGGAGATGGGGTGGCCTGGGAAGAAGCTTGAGGGCCACATTTGGCCCCTGGATGTGGGGTTCCCCACTTATGCTGTAAAGAAGCTTTCCTCAACTTTGTGCCCCCAAATGGCCATGCTGGCTGTGGCAGATGGGTTTTGTAGTCCAAAATGTCTGGAAGGCAGCAGGTTAGGAAAGGCTGTGCTCTAAGGCTGGCTAACCTGGCTGCATCAAGGAAAGAAGCAGCCTTCCAAATCATTATCTGCCCCCAATCTCCCTGTGAGATACTCAGACATAGATGGAATGGCCAACATTGCTTAAAGCCTCTGTTAACTGGAGAAAGAACAAAATGATCCCAAGGCAAAAGTAAAGGAAGAAGATCAAATGGGTGGGGAGATCTCAGCTTTTGCAAACAAACTGCTTGAAGTGAAACTGAAATCGGACTTGCCCGCAGAAGTCTCCCTCTGGGTAGCTTGAGGTTGAATCCTGACAAGACAGAAGTACTGTTTTGCAGGGACAGGAGGCAGGCGGGTGTGGAGGACTCCCTGGTCCAGAATGGGTAACTGTGCCCCTGAAGGACCAGGTGCGCAGCCTGGGAGTCATTTTGGACTCACAGCTGTCCATTGAGGTGCAGGTCAATTCTGTGTCCAGGGGCAGCTGTTTATCAGCTCCATCTGGTACACAGGCTGAGACCCTACCTGCCCACGGACTGTCTTGCCAGAGTGGTGCACGCTCTAGTTCTCTTTCGCTTGGACTACTGCAATGCACTCTACGTGGGGCTACCTTTGAAAGTGACCTGGAAACTGAAATGAATCCAGAATGCGGCAGCTAGACTAGTGACTGGGAGTGGCCCGCCCAGACCACATAACTCAGGTCTTTAAAGACCTGCATTGGCTCCCAGTACGTTTCCGAGCACAATTCAAAGTGTTGGTGCTGACCTTTAAAGCCCTAAACGGCCTCGGTCCAGTATATCTGAAGGAGCGTCTCCACCCCCATTATTCAGCCCAGACACTGAGGTCCAACGCTGAGGGCCTTCTGGTGGTTCCTTCACTGCGAGAAGCCAAGTTACAGGGAACCAGGCAGAGGGCCTTCTCGGTAGTGGCGCCCGCCCCGTGGAATGCCCTCCCATCAGATGTCGAAGAGAAGAACAACTGCCATACTTTTAGAAGACATCTGAAGGCAGCCCTGTTTAGGGAAGCTTTTAATGTTTGGCGGACTATTGTATTTTAATATTTTGTTGGAAGCCACCCAGAATGGCTGGGGAAACCCAGCCAGATGGGTGGGGTATTATTATTATTATTATTATTATTATTATTATTATTATTATTAAGCTTAAAAAAGATGCTCTCCAAGAGGCAATGAGATGCCTCTCGCCACACAAAGGCCATTTTGCCTTCCAAATGCTGAGCGCCACCCCCCTCCGCACCTGCCTGCCTCTGGGGTCCCCACTGAGAGGCCTGCATGTTCTTGGGACCTTTCCTCTTGCCCTTCTGCACATCGCCCGGCAGGCACGTCCCCTTGCCTGCTATTCTTCCCACAGATAATAGAAAATAAATTGCAATTAGATTTGGTAATTGTAGATAATTAAGCCAAAATGAGCAGTTAATTATAAAAAAAATATGTTTTTCGGGTGTTGATTGTATCATTTATTTTCTTTCGAAACTCTAATGTCTCGCTTGAGCAAGTTTAATATTTTGAATACTTTTAACCCTTTTTTTTTAAAAAAAAAGCAAAACAAAGAACAGCACAAACAAAAAAATCCCTCCTTTTAAGCGGAGCCTTGCTTAGCTGAGAATTAACATTCAAGTTTTTACCCCAGGAGTTCGTGTCAACCAGAAGGTAGAGATAACTTCTTTTCTTGATTATTTCTGTGTTTTGTTTTTCAAATAGCAAAAAAAGAGAGAAAAGTCTTTGGCATTTCAATGACACAGTCCAGCTGCACAGCATCATTCTCCAGCCCCAATAATCACATGCACCCTTTTCAGAGACTGAAGCAAACATCACTTCCATATTCAAATGCATAAAGGAGACAAATGGACTTGTCGTCTTAGCCTCCTCTGGCTTTACATTAGATTAAATTATTTAGGGCGCATTCATCTGGTAACCTTTGCAGAACTGATGAATGAATACAGGAAGCAAACTTTCCGATGTCTTGCTGCCAAACTTCACGACCGGCTGGCACAGAGACTCGGGAATGCGCAATTGCACACTAATGCTATAAGATTACTGCATGTCTCCATCAGAAAAGTGAGACATAAAGATGGACAGACAATCCCATAGAATCCCTACGTCTTGTTTCTCTCACACCCTATGTTATCTCTCCCCTCTCAATATGGGAGGGCTGTTGCCACTAACAAAAGACCTGCAGATGCTGAAGGTAGATTCGCTAGAAGAGTGGGAACAGTTTGATACTTGTGTTTTCTAAGTATTACATACAGGTAACTTGCAGATTATGTGCATTTAACTTGCACACATTCAGCTTTGCGACAATTTAAAAATACAGTGGTACCTCGGGTTAAGTACTTAATTCATTCTGGAGGTCCGTTCTTAACCTGAAACTGTTCTTAACCTGAAGCACCACTTAAGCTAATGGGGCCTCCTGCTGCTGCAGCGCCGCTGGAGCACGATTTCTGTTCTCATCCTGAAGCAAAGTTCTTAACCCAAGGTAATATTTCTGGGTTAGCAGAGTCTGTAACCTGAAGCCTATGTAACCTGAAGCGTATGTAACCCGAGGTACCACTATAAATAAATAAAAGGGGTGGAAAGGAGATGGGCATCTGGGGGAAAGTATTTTAACTATATGGGATTTTGGTTTTATGCGCTATCCCCAGAACGCAACCTCCATGTACGTTGAGGTTACTGTACTGTGTTTTGGACAAAATCAAACACAGATAAGTCCGTTTATGGTCTCCTCTATGATGAAGCGACACATTATCTATCTGCACAGGGAAGATTTCCTGCATGACAAAGGAGGAAAACCCTATCCGTAAGGAACAGAAAAGCTAACACATCCAATTGTGGAACTGAGTTTATAAGCAGTTTTGCTCATTGGTCAGACAAGGGTCACCAATGGAAACTGAAGGCACTACCTTCAAGACAAGGAAGCCAAGTCAGACATGCAGATCTGAACACAGCACTAAAAAGCCAAGTTCAGTACAACTGGCTTTGTTTCGAAGGCAAAATGATGGTGTGGGCAGCACACGCTGATGCACGTTTACTCAGAAGCAAACCAAATTGCGTTCAATCCAGCCCTCCACCTGCCTGGAGAATCGAGACTTTTGTGGGAGTCATCCCTCAGCCCAGTCTTGAAGCCCATACTTAGAAGGGAACTTTTCCCTGCATGTGTTGCTGCAGCAAAGGTCAAGGCAGCCCTCGAGGGATGATTCAGAGATCAATGCTGGCTACAATCACAGCCCCAGAACTGGAGAAGCGTAGTGTTCAAACACAGAAAGAGAACATTGAAAACCTTGGCTATGAAAGCACATGACACCCAATGAGAAAAACACAGTGAGTGCTGCCCAGTGATTGCTCCTGTCTCCCGGTGCAGGCACTTATTATAAGGAGTTCCACATTTGCATTAATTAACGGAGAGATAGGCAGACCCCGTGCAACTCTGCCCATCCTGGGGTAGGGCTCAAGGAGGCGCCCTCTGTTCCCCCCGTGATTATTAGCACTTCTGTACAGAACTCTGCTTCCGCACTTGAAGAACTACAGACCTGGGTCAAACTAGAAAGGTTGCCAGGGGGCACTTTTTCAGAGCACCTCCGCTGAATTTCAACTCCAGTGTCACCCTGTTTGCTGCCTGTTTTGGGGCCCTCTCTCCCTCCTGGCTCTGTGCCATGTGAACCACTTTCAAACCTCTCTCTTAAGCTTGCCGTCTCCAATAAACGTCTGTTTCAAACCTTGCCTTGGTTGGTTTCCTGGCTTCTTTGATGCCCTGGCCTGATCCTGCTTCACCTCTGAGCTTCATCTGAGAGCCCCTAAGTGACTGCCTTTAATGCAGGCTCCCAAGGTCTACTTTCAAGGACAGGAGCCCAGGTCCAGGTCTCTGCACCCGCCACCCCACACTCTTTATTGACTATATTGTCATCTCATGATGTTACTTCCATTCTTTTTGGCTTGAAGCATTTAATCCGAGAGAAGGGAGGGAGAGGTGAAAGAAAATATGTTTTTTAGCATTCTGTAAAGGCCCTTTAGACAAATCATAAAATATACTGACACATGAAAGTGCTTAACAGAGGAGCACAAGACCAAGGTATTACCTGAGGCCCCCACAAGTGCCATTCATCACTGGGGCCAAGCCGCCTGGTCTCATCAGCACTTCATCAATGAGCAGTTCTTCCGAATTAGGAGGCTGGCCCTTAAACCTGGGGTGGGGAGAGAAGAGCCACATATCACGGTAAACATGCACGGTGCTGAGCAGCCAAACTTTTGCCCCTTCTCTCCCTCTCCCCCTTTACACAGCAAGTAAATTAAACACTTAAACTGCAATCCTACCCACACTTAACTGGAAGTAAGTCCCCTTGACGTCAACAGGACTTATGTTTGAATAGACATGCCTAGGCATGAGCCATTGGCCTCCAAGCCAAAAAAACCCTAGATTTATTAGAATCCTGCATTATTTTCTATGGAGGGGGCAGTTCCACGAATACTCCTTGATGCAGTCACAAAAGAGCGGTGCCAGGTACTGAGGTCAAAAGCAGTGATGTGCTTGCCCACCAGATCTCTCAATTGCTCAAGGAGTCACTGGATGAGGGCATCGGAAGTGGGCTTTTGAATTCTGAATTTGCGGTGCGAGATTGGTTACACTATTGCCAGATTAGGGAGGTCTTTAATATGGACAAAAAAACAGGCTTCCAGGTGGAAAAATCGAAACTAGAAACAGAACTGTTAGAACCTAAAATTAAGGTACTTTCAAGAATGTATAACTTGCTGTTAAATGGAACACTCAGGATGAAACGGTCAAATCAGCTATGATAAAGTGGGCTCAGGACATTGGCTACAATATTATGTTTGCTGACTGGGAACGGTTATGGACCACTGGTGTGAAATTCACGGCATGTAATGCCCTGAAAGAAAATATTATGAAAATGATATAAAGGTGGTACATGACCCCAGTCAAGCTTGCAAAAATATACCATTTGACGGATAATAAGTGTTGGAAATGTAAAGAAACTGAGGGAACATTCTTTCACCTCTGGTGGACGTGCCCAAGGGTCAAGGCTTTCTGGGAAATGATATATAATGAATTGAAAAAGGTATTTAAATATACCTTCCCTAAGAAACCAGAGGCCTTCCTTTTGGGCATTGTTGGCCAAATGGTGCCAAAGAAGGACAGAACTTTCTTTATGTATGCAACAACAGCAGCAAGAATACTCATCACAAAACATTGGAAGACACAAGATTTGCCCACTCTGGAAGAATGGCAGATGCAACTGATAGACTATATGGAATTGGCAGAAATGACTGGCAGAATCCGAGACCTGGGAGAAGAGTTAGTGGAAGAGGACTGGAAGAAATTTAAGGACTACTTGCAAAAGTATTGTAAACTGTATGAATGTTAGAATGATGCAGGATATAAAGATAATATGGCATTAGTGACATAGCTGAAAGGAGTACGCAAAAACTGGTTTATAAGAACAAAGGTGAAGTTAGAATAACATTATGTCAAACTCAAATAACTGATAACAAAGGTTCCAGTTACAGATGGGTAGCCGTGTTGGTCTGCCATAGTCAAAACAAAAAAATTCCTTCCAGTAGCACCTTAAAGACCAACTAAGTTAGTTCTTGGTATGAGCTTTCGTGTGCATGCACACTTCTTCAGATACACAGTGTATATACACAGTGAAGAAGGGTGTATCTGAAGAAGTGTGCATGCACACGAAAGCTCATACCAAGAACTAACTTAGTTGGTCTTTAAGGTGCTACTGGAAGGAATTTTTTTGTTTTGATAACAAAGGGAAAAATTGGAGACATAATAGTTGAAATGTATAACATAAAATAAGATTTGAAAGAAGGTGAAGTATTGCTGAATAAGATTTTGTAAAAGGGAACACAGAAAAGGGAGATGTGAGGGAGTCTGGAAGGAGGGTTATGAAAAAAATATTTAAGAAATTGATTTTTTTTATGTCCTTTTTATGTCTATTTACTTCTATTTTGTATGGGGGGTTTTCTACTGTACTTTTTTTCTTTTTTTGGCTTTTTTGATTGATTGTGATGGTGTTTTTCCTTTTTTGGTTGTGAATGTGAAGTTTGTTTTACTGTCTAAAACTTTAATAAATATCTTTTAAAAAAAATATGAATTCTGAATTTGTGATCAGCGAGTTCCGCAAATGTATTGCCAGTTGGGCAAACTTGCAAAGAATGTCTGCTCCATTCATACCGCAACATTCCAGACAGAAGAATGGTTTTGTTTCCATCCCTCCACCTTTTGATAAATTTAACCCAGAAAAGAAAATACCATTTTTTAATAGAAACAGCAATTTATGGAAAGTGCAACTGAGGTCACAAATAGGTTAGATGGCTTTAAAGAGGGTAAGATAATTTAGGTAAGAACGTGTTGAACTTGCCATTATTAACTAGAACATGGGTGGGCAAACTAAGGTCCAATCACCTTCTAAATCTGGCCTGCAGATGGTCTGGGAATCAGCGTGTTTTTACATGAGTAGAAAGTGTTCTTTTATTTCAAATGCATCTCTGGGTTATTTGTGGGGCCTGCCTGGTGTTTTTACATGAGTAGAATGTGTGCTTTGATTTCAAATGCATCTCTGGGTTAAAAAAAAAGGAGGGAGACAAGAAAGGAGGAGGAGTGGCGTTATATGTCAGGGATGTGTATACCTGTGAAGAGATCCAAGATTTAGAACCTCAAAGCCAAAGTGAGAGCATTTGGGTCAAAATTAAGGGAGAGAAGAATAACAGTGACCTCATTGTGGGAGTTTACTATAGATCCCCAAGCCAAACGGAGGACATAGATGATGCCTTCCTGGAACAGATGGCCAAGCATGCAAAAGGAAGGGAGATAGTAGTAATGGGGGACTTCAATTACCCTGATATTTGTTGGATGTCAAACTCAGCCAAGAGCATAAGGTCAAACAGATTCCTCACTGCCCTTGCAGACAACTTCATTGTCCAGAAAGTGGGAGAAGCAACAAGAGGAACAGCCATTTTAGATCTGGTCCTAACCAATGTTGATGACCTGGTTAGTGGGGTAGAAGTGGAAGGATCATTAGGCGCGAGTGATCATGCTCTTCTGAAGTTTACTATACAGCGGAAAGGAGCAGCCAAGCATACTAGGACTCAATTTCTCGACTTTAAGAAAGCCGACTTCATAAAGCTTAGGGAAGTGCTGGGTGAGATCCCATGGACAGTAATACTAAAAGGAAAGGGAGTTCAAGATGGCTGGGAGTTTGTTAAGAGGGAGATAGTAAAAGCACAACTTCAGGCAATACCAATGAGACGGAAACATGGAAGGTGCCTAAAGAAGCCAGGGTGGCTATCTAAAGAACTTTTAACTGAGTTAAGATTAAAAAAGGATGTGTACAAAAAATGGAAAAGGGGGGAAACCACCAAAGAGGAATTCAAACAAATAGCCAGCACGTGTAGACACAAAGTCAGAAAAGCTAAAGCACAAAATGAACTCAGGCTTGCTAGAGAGGTTAAAAGCAACAAAAAAGGCTTTTATGGGTATGTTCGTAGCAAAAGGAAGAACAAAGAAACCGTGGGGTCACTCAGAGGAGAAGATGGTGAAATGCAAACAGGGGACACAGAAAGGGCTGAACTCCTCAATGCTTTCTTTGCCTCAGTCTTCTCCGATAAAGAAAACAATGCCCGACCTGAAGAATTTGGAGCAAATGATTCAGCAGAGGAAACACAACCCAGAATAACTAAGGAGATAGTACAAGAATACTTGGCTAGTCTAGATGTATTCAAGTCTCCAGGGCCAGATGAACTGCATCCAAGAGTATTAAAAGAACTGGCAGATGTGATTTCAGAACCACTGGCAGTCATCTTTGAGAATTCCTGGAGAACAGGCGAAGTCCCGGCAGACTGGAGGAGGGCAAATGTTGTCCCTATTTTCAAAAAGGGGAAAAGAGAGGACCCAAATAATTACCGCCCAGTCAGTCTGACATCAATACCAGGGAAGATTCTGGAGCAGATCATTAAGCAAACAGTCTGTGAGCACCTAGAAAGGAATGCTGTGATCACCAATAGTCAGCATGGATTTCTGAAAAATAAGTCATGTCAGACTAACCTGATCTCGTTTTTTGACAGAATTACAAGCCTGGTAGATGAAGGGAACGCAGTGGATGTAGTCTACCTTGATTTCAGCAAGGCATTTGACAAGGTGCCCCATGATATTCTTGTAAAGAAGCTGGTAAAATGCGGTCTTGACTATGCTACCACTCAGTGGATCTGTAACTGGCTGACTGACCGAACCCAAAGGGTGCTCATCAATGGTTCCTCTTCATCCTGGAGAAGAGTGACTAGTGGGGTGCCACAGGGTTCTGTCTTGGGCCCGGTCTTATTCAACATCTTTATCAACGACTTGGATGATGGACTCAAGGGCATCCTGATCAAATTTGCAGATGACACCAAACTGGGAGGGGTGACTAACACCCCAGAGGACAGGATCACACTTCAAAACGACCTTGACAGATTAGAGAACTGGGCCAAAACAAACAAGATGAATTTTAACAGGGAGAAATGTAAAGTATTGCACTTGGGCAAAAAAAATGAGAGGCACAAATACAAGATGGGGGACACCTGGCTTGAGAGCAGTACATGTGAAAAGGATCTAGGAGTCTTGGTTGACCACAAACTTGACATGAGCCAACAATGTGACGCGGCAGCTAAAAAAGCCAATGCAATTCTGGGCCTCATCAATAGGAGTATAGCATCTAGATCAAGGGAAGTAATAGTGCCACTATATTCTGCTCTGGTCAGACCTCACCTGGAGTACTGTGTCCAGTTCTGGGCACCACAGTTCAAGAAGGACACTGACAAACTCGAACGTGTCCAGAGGAGGGCAACCAAAATGGTCAAAGGCCTGGAAACGATGCCTTATGAGGAACAGCTAAGGGAGCTGGGCATGTTTAGCCTGGAGAAGAGGAGGTTACGGGGTGATATGATAGCCATGTTCAAATATATAAAAGGAGGTCACATAGAGGAGGGAGAAAGGCTGTTTTCTGCTGCTCCAGAGAAGCGGACACGGAGCAATGGATCCAAACTACAAGAAAGAAGATTCCACCTAAACATTAGGAAGAACTTCCTGACAGTAAGAGCTGTTCGACAGTGGAATTTGCTGCCAAGGAGTGTGGTGGAGTCTCCTTCTTTGGAGGTCTTTAAGCAGAGGCTTGACAACCATATG